CTGCTACAAACTACCCTACGACAGCACCTCTCACCTTTACACACACACACACACGCGCTTATATAGCCGCCCCAATATATTCACACACCAACAAAGACCCCACACACAGACACACATAGTCCTCACACACAGACACCAACATAGGCCCTTGATACAGACACACACAGGCCCCACACACAGGCACCAACATATGCCCTTGATACAGACACACCCTCATGCGATCACATGTACAACCAAGACACAATCACGCAGCTTCCTCCCCCCTTCCCCTCCACACCCTTCTCTCTCAGTGCAGTAGACAAGGTATTCAGTACAGCTAACACTCTGCACCCCGTTACTATAACAAGGTTGAGGTTTATAAGAGTGGTATTGTGTGTGTGTGTGTGTGTGTGTGTGAAGGCGTGCCTGCGTGTGTTTGTGAGTCAGAGGTGTCAGTGCGCCCCTTCCTTCCTCCCCCTCCCGAACCACACCCATAACGTAACCTGCAATTACCGTGTCTGTTCGGACGTGACTCTTCAAGATGCTATGCTGAATCATACGTTATTGCTTAGATTTCACGGGTGTGTTGTATTTCGGTCGGCACGTTACATGTTAAATCGCTTTCTGATGCAAAGGATTTTACGGTGGATTGTCTTTTGCGGATTACGGGTCGTTTAGTTTGCAGATCATTTTGTACACGGGTAGTAGTTTCGTATGTCGACCCACAGGTAATCTTATATACAAATAGAATAACTTAAAACCAAATCTGGCGTAACCTGACCTGCCCTGACCCTAACATTTTATACTCTTTTGCACGTTTACGCTATTTCACATGTCAACCTATCAACGAAAGTCAATATTTATACCTAAAGGTGTATCTATAATAAGTTAGGTTGGGTTAATTTCGCTGATGTGTAACAATACCTAAATAATGAATGAAAGTTCCAAAAAAATTTATTATTAACCTTGTGTACGAAGCGACCCGTGAAGGATACGACATGAGATTCTTTTTTGATGCTCATATCGAATTCTGACATCGCATTATATTATTCTCTCTCTCTCTCTCATTCCCTTTCATTTTCTCCCCATCTCCCTTCACCATCCTTCATCTTCTGTTTCTCTCACCATTTTTTCTTTCTTCTCACCTTTCTTTCTCTGTTTCATCTTTCCATTCATTTCTCCACCCCCCACTCTCTCTTTCCCCATTCTCTCTCTTATCTCCTTCTCCCACCATTCTTTCTCTCACACACACACGCAGTCTCCCTGATCTTTCCCCCCTCTCCCTTCTTTTCACATCTCTCATTTCTCTCCTTCACCCCCACCGTTTTCTCCTGCCAGTTCACCATTTTGTTCTCCCTCCTCCTCCAGTGTATCGACCGTCACCTTACACAACCCACCTCCCCGTCGAGACCAAACCTGACAACTCGCTCCTCCTCCGCCAGGTTCGTGTGGGTACTCCATCTCCCTGTCACATGATATTCACGAGTTCGATATCCAACCATTTTGTATTCTGTTGGTGGTAATTTCATTTTCAGATCATCAGGTACCACCACACTCTAACAGTGCCCACTGTACCACCACACTCTAACAGTGCCCACTGTACCACCACACTCTAACAGTGCCCACTGTACCACCACACTCTAACAGTGCCCACTGTACCACCACACTCTAACAGTGCCCACTGTACCACCACACTCCACTGTACCACCACACTCTAACAGTGCCCACTGTACCACCACACTCTAACAGTGCCCACTGCTAACAGTGTCACTGTACCACCACACTCTAACAGTGCCCACTGTACCACACACTCTAACACACTGTGCCTAACAGTGTGTACCACCACACTCTAACAGTGCCCACTGTACCCACCACACTCTAACAGTGCCCACTGTACCACCAGTGCCCACTGTACCCACCACACTCTAGCAGTGTCCACTGTACCACACACACTCTAACAGTGCCCACTGTACCACCACACTCTAACAGTGCCCACTGTACCCACCACACTCTAACAGTGCCACACCACCACTCAACAGTGCCCACTGTACCACCACACTCAAACAGTGCCCACTGTACCACCACACTCAACAGTGCCCACTGTACCACCACATCAAACAGTGCCCACTGTACCACCACACTCTATAGTGCCCACTGTACCACCACACTCTAACAGTGCCCACTGTACCACCACACTCTAACAGTGCCACTGTACCACCACACTCTAACAGTGCCCACTGTACCACCACACTCAAACAGTGCCCACTGTACCACCACACTCTAACAGTGCCCACTGTACCACCACACTCAAACAGTGCCCACTGTACCACCACACTCTAACAGTGCCCACTGTACCACCACACTCAAACAGTGCCCACTTCACTCAACTAGATCATTTGTTCTTTGAGGCGCGTGTTACCTATTGTACTTCTTGAACCAAGAAGTTGAATCTCTCCCTAGAAACTGAAAACAAAAACCCAACAACAGGGGATGGATGATATGACAGTCTATATTAACACTACTACTACTACTTTTTTTTTTCATTGGCCTCCATCCTCCCCTTATAGCCATACCTTCGCCACCATTTTATTACCTTAAAATTAAATATCCTAATACATAAGTAGCTATCCTAGCTGTGTTGAGTTCCTACTACTACTACTTTTACTACTACTACTACTACTACTCTACTACTACTACTACTACTACTACTACCACTACTACTACTACTAATAATAATAATAATAATAATAATAATAATAATAATAATAATAATAATAATATTACCAACAATATTTATGAAGCAATAACATGAATTATAAAATAAACTTATAACACTAACATAAATAACAATTCGTCGTATATGTAAATTAATGCAATGAGTCATATTGTAAAAAAATCACGCAATGATTTAAGTAAACAGAAGAGTTATTTCATTATAAATCCCAAAGCGTCGTAACAGAAAACGGGAACACATGCCGGAAAGAACTAAACAGATCAAGGTCACATAAATGTTTTTAGGAGAGGTGTGAGTTAAGGTAAAGGCGAGAACAGGTCATGGAAAGTAACCGCAAAATGACTGAAAACATCATTCATTCTTGACCTTTTGGAAAATAGATCGTGAAAAGTTATATTTATGAAGAGTGAATATGAGGCCGAAATGGTTCGTTGTTTTAGGAGTATTATTTCTAGGAATGAAAATGTGAAAATATGTTTGTTAATATTAAATGTATTTGTTCGGTTAATTTAGTTAGTAAGTTGAGACAAATTTAAAGCCATGAACACCACAGAAATTTTTTAATAAATTTTCTTACAGTATTTTTCTAAAGTGGTCATTAAAGAAATACGAATCATCAGGGAAATGTTCTAACCTAACGTGTTCATATTACTAAGATTTTTCTTAAATAGCCACGAGAACATTGTGTGGTGATCATGAGAACATTTTTGTCACGAGAACATATACTGACAAGCCAAGAGTAAATATATTATAGTGACAGAAAATGATTAGATTCTTAGAATAATTTTTTTGGAACGGAGAAAACTTTTTGATAACCACGATTAAGACTTTCGGTTGTCAGGAGTAAATTGTCATATAGTGATGATTGAAGACTTTGATAATGAAGGAAGAGTTTCAGATGGTGGAAAATAATTGCACCCTTAAAGGTTACTGGTAGCTCAACATGCTCGGGAAAAAACATTAAAAAAAAAAAGTCACAAAGTTTAATGGTAAATACATTATGATCAAAATTACACTTTGCTGTCACTCGGAATTGAGTACAGTATGAAGATCATCCAGCTATGATACCATAATATGAGTTATTAGGGATGTCACTTACGTTGCTGAGATCTGAGGTGACTAAAGAAGCCGATACGGGACCGGTAGAATCGTTCACAGATGTTGCACATGTGGGGGGCTACATCTAGTGCAGGAGGGGAGGCGGCAGCGTCTTTCCGGCGTTGGCGCTTGTCGGCCTCGTTATGCAGTCGGGCTAACTCGAAAGCATAGACACCTTGTATGGTGCTCCTCCAAGCGTTACGGTGTAAGTAATCGTCTCCCAGGTGAGGGGGTCGATTTTGCACTTTTTCAGGTTTGTCTTAAGACTATCCTTACACCTTTTCAGTTGCCCACCAGCATTACGTTTACTATTCGTTCGGTGACTGTAAAGTAGCTGCTTTGGCAGTCAACTGTCGTCCATGCGGGTAGCATGGCCAGTCCAACGTAATTGTTCAGGTATAAGGGCAGCCTCGATGCTCCTACAGTTAGTGTCAGCGAGAATAATGGCATTTGTTCTCTTGTCTTACCAGCGTACACGGAGGATGAAACGTAGACTACGTTGTTGAAAGTTTTCAAGTGCCTTGAGGTGCCTCCTGTACGTGACCAATGTCTCGCTGCCAAATGGCAGGGTGGGGAGGACCACTGCTCGATATACGTGCAACTTTGTAGATAATTTCAGCACCCTATAGCTGAAGACAAGGGTACTGAGTCTGCCAAATACTTGTGATGCACATCTGATCCGAAGTTGAATCTCTTCATTGATGTTCGCGGTGGTGAACAGGTGAGAGCAACAGCATGGAAATATTCCACACGGCAAATGGACCCCAAAATAAATGTTGTTAATGCTCAATCGACAATTTCAACAAATAGCAAAGGAGCATAGTGACATAAACTTTCCTCTGGGGCAAGTAATTTCTCAATATTCAATAAACAATTATCATTCTAGGATATAAAACTAGTCAATCACGTCACCAACAAATCTATGCTGAAAGTCCTGTTAAAATTCATAACAATTATAATCATCAATGGCAATATAAAGAATAAAGAAATTAAAAAACGAGGAAGGATCATCTTGGAGACATAACATGAACTATATATTGTGTGGGAGAGGACCCAGCAAGCAAGGAGGGCGACTACGATGAGAGATCATTTATCATAACATGATCATCCACAGCTCCTCCAGCATTATTATTGTATTTAAACTTACACAAATACGAACTATAATATTAGAAGGTAATAAAATCAATGCTTCGGAGAATTTCAAATTTTATTCAAGATTATTAGTTGCAGAAGAATCAGAATTTACAGGACTTGAAAACAGAAAGTGGAAATCTTAAAAAAAAAGCCACATTATCGTCCATATCTCCCATACCCACTGAAGCCACGAAAGCCATCAGTGTGCCCTTCAAACCCACCACTGTGCCCTCCAAAGCCGCCATAGCGACAAAAGCCAGGTTCAGGGTCTGCATCATCGCTCCTTTTGCCATAGTGGTGCAGGCGGCTAATTCCTTGGAAGCCACCATAACCACCGTAGCCTCCACAGCTTAGATGACCAGCACTGGGATCAGCCTCGGGGTCAGCCAGAGCTTCGGCTTCAGCGCTTCTTTTGCCGCGGTAGCCACCATAGCCTCCATAGCCACCAAATCCACCATGGGATCTGCCCCCGAAGCTCCCAAATCCTCTATGGAAACCCGGGTCAGCTTCCGGGAGGGGCTCAGCGTTCCCAGTCACTGCAAGTGTGGCCACGAGGGCGAGTGCTGCTACCTGCATGAGGAAGATAATTAAGATCAAATTATCACTCACGTGTATCTGTGCATAAATGCAATTTTGTCATGATTATTTTATGATCATTCAAAAACTCACGCAACTGGATTTCGGTTATTAAAATGCAAAGTTAACGAACACTGAATTAAAATTGATTATATATTATACTATTAGTACAGAGCTTACCAAGACCTTCATGCTGGGGTATTTCAGCAAGAACTGTGCCGTGAAGTTCAAGTTTAGAAGCTCCAATTTGAACTTCACGGCACAGTTCTTGCTGAAACACCCCAGCATGAAGGCCGTGAAGGAGGTTGTCGGTCCTTTTATACCTCTCGCTCAAGACACCCCGCCACCATTAGACCACGCTGGACTCTTTGGTTTCAAGGACGTACCCAGATTTCTTTGTAAATAATGTAAGGTTGATCATCATGACGTTAGTTTTATATTTAGAACAAATAATTTAGGCCAGTACCTCGGAAGCCACCATAACCACTATAGGAACCATAGTCCCTAGATGACCAGCACTGGGATCAGCCTCAGGGTCAGGCAGAGCTTCTGCCTCGGCTTCTCTGGCGTGGTTTTTTTTCCGTGTTGTGTTGTGTTTCACAGGTACCACAGATTAAACCAGGAAGTAAGGCATACTTTTGCTGCGTAGTGAAAATGAAATAGGAAGAGCACGTTTTCTTCGGCATTTATACCCACTACTAAGTCGTGACAAAAAAGTATACAAGTAAAATGGAAAACCTAAGAATATTTTTTATAGTTATGTATAATGAGTGAAGAATAAACTCGGAAACAATGGCAAATTTGCATATCGTATCGTCTTACAAATATTCTAAAATTTTCGAATATATATTCAAGAATTGTTTTCCTTTAAAACTCTTCGATAGTAATGAAAATCAAAACTTTCTAGGTTGAAAAACAATCTCTTTATTAAGATATTAGAAGATACTAACTCACACGGAAGGCGGAGCGTGAGAGTTCTTGTACCGACGACACACACACAGCTCCAGAAGACCTTGGAAACAGTTCATTCAGCGTTGCTTGGTGAAGGTTGCGTTTCGGGTGGGAGGTATAAAAGGAGCGTCAGCCTCCCTCAAACCACAGTTCAAGCTGAAACACCTCAGCATGAAGGTCTTGGTGAGTCTTCAAATCATTTCAATGTTGTAAAATAATGTCATCTCATTTTTTATTGTGTCGTTGTAAATGTTAAATTTAGTATAATTTATTCTTTCTACATATAACATGTTTGTCCATTTTGTTTTCGTCACGTTATTATCTTTGTACAGGTAGCAGCACTCGCCCTCGTGGCCACACTTGCAGTGACCGGGAGCGCTGAGCCCCTCCCAGAAGCTGACCCGGGTTACCATAGTGGATTTAGAGGCTTCGGTGGCAGATCCCATGGAGGATTTGGAGGCTTCAGCGGCAGATCCCATGGAGGATATGGTGGTTATGGTGGTCATGGTGCCTACCGTGGCAAGAGAAACGCCGAGGCAAATCCTCAACCCGAAGCCGAAGCTTTGGCTGACCCTGAGGCTGATCCCAGTGCTGGTCATGAAAGGTATGGTGGCTACGGTGTTTATGGTGGCTTCCAAGGAATTGGCCAGCACCACCACCACCATGGCAAAAGAAGCGCTGACGCAGACCCCGAACCTGACTTTAGTCGTTATGGCGGCTTTGGAGGGCAACGTGGTGGCTTTGGTGGCTTCAGAAGATATGGAGGATACGGACGATAACGCAATTTTTAGAAATTCCATCAACTGTATATCGGCTGTTGCAACAATTGCATGATTTAAGAATAAAATTGAATAAAATACTACAAGGAAATGTCAATAAAATCAAGCATACTTAACCAATGACTGATATCATTATCCTATTTGCATGTCCTTTGGTACTCCTATTAACTATAGACATCCGGGCGTGTGCCTGTCTGTTCCAGTTGTAGCTCCAACACGGTAACAGTTACAAATCTGAAGCCCCACACACACACACACACACACACACACACACACACACACACACATACACAATCACACACACAAACAACACACACACACACACACACACACACACACACACACACACACACATACACAATCACACACACATACACAATCACACACACAACACACACACACACACACACACACACACACACACACACACATATTACTTGGGTCCCAAGGTTGTGCAACTTTGTTATTATTATTCGCCACGGACTACTGGGTGGTCCAGGCAAGACCCACGAAAAATACACAATCGTGATATCGCCACGACAATTGCGGGAAGTGATTAGAGATGTCAGGTAGAGCAACCTATAGTACTCAAGGTTATACAGTATATAACTAACCCGAAACTCGCTAAAATCAGGACGTTATTCCTACAAATTGATTCTCATCACTTTCGCATTGTACTAAACGTGGTTAGGGATTATATATATATATATATATATATATATATATATATATATATATATATATATATATATATATATATATATATATATATATATATATATATATATATATATATATATATATATATATATATACGGATACTGAATAAACAAAGGCAAAAATTCGCCTGTTTTCTCAATGTATTTTTTAATAATATGACAGGAATGTAATGAACATACAACGTAAACATCGTGTATGACAACAAGAAGCTGAAAGTTGCCCGAAAGTGTTTATCTTGTCAATAAGAAGAAAGGTTGCCTTTTTTTTTTTTTTTAACGGTGAGTAGCTCACCAGCGCACAGGTCATCGACCCTCAACGGGGACTAGGGGGCGAAAAAATATAAATAAAAATAAATTAAAATTAGAAAAGAAAAAAGTTGTATTAATTTACACCACGAAGATGAGGAAAACCAGCTTTTTGAAGGGAGACAGATTGTATGTGTATGGAAACACAGAACAAGGCAGAGCATTCCACTTTTTGGCTGTGTGAGGAAAGAAGGATGTACTATGACGGGTTATTCTAGTGTGACCCACATCCACAGATGAAACGGTGGCCACAGCAGGCAAGACGAGTGTTACGAGTTCACGGCCTTGCCGGTAGTACATACAAGTGTAGTACATACAAGTGATCGCGAGCACGTTCGTGCCCTTGTGAGAGTTTGAACGCTCGTGACAGCGTACAGCGAATGAGGGTGCGCCACGTCCGTAGACTTGCATGGTTAATTAGTGTGCGCCAAGTCCGTAGACTTGCATCGTTTTCCATCGTAAATAAAATTGTTAACTAATGCCTTCCTAAAGAAACCATCGACATGGGACCAGGTTTGTTCCACTCAACGAATTTTTTTGCGATTTTTTCACCAAGTTTGATGAGAAACGATTGTGCCGTTTCGGCTGCCCAGAACAGACACACACACACACACAGCCACACGCCTAGTCCTATAGTATATTAGATGATGTACAATCTACCGAACATTGCCGATTAATGAACCTGTAAAAGAGAGAGTGAAGCAACATTGTGGCGAAGTGAAAGGAATGAAAGATCTGAGTAATCTGATGGCTGCTATGGCGAACCATTGTAGAATTATAAGTAAAAAAAAAAAAATATTGATTCTGTTTAAGGAATACGTCACTGTCACTGATGGCTGGTGAGAAAAGCTTTACAATCTTTACACCATTATGATATTGACCCAAAATACAACACTACCTGGTCAACAACTTCTGTAAAATAATCATCTTATCTCAGATCCGAAATCCATCTCAGCACTTTGGTTCTTGATGACTAACAGATTTCGAATAGTTGTATTTGTAAGACTAAGGAACTAAGAAGTCAACAAAGACGTGAAGCTGTTAAATGTTCATGCTGTTGTTCTCGGAATATATACGTTGGTAAATTATATCTCCATTAAATATCTTATTCCAATAATTTTAGGGTGAGTATTAGTCTTATATGAATACTGTACTCCTTACAGTTTTCCTTATAACTCTCAATCTTTGTGTATCTTTTGATCATCCCTTTAACAACAAATTCATCCAACGACCGGCATCCTATGAAGTGTAATTGAAATTTGTATAATATGCCCCAAAAAACTATTCTTCGAGTCAATTTTAGTTTTAAGGGCGCAAGTATGCAATTATAACAGCCTGGACCTATTCCACACGGCAAATGGTCTCCCAAATAAAGGTCGACAGAACACAATCGAGAATTTTAATAAATGGCAAAGGAGCATAGTGACATGAACTCTCCTCTGGGGCAAGTAATTTCTCAATATTTAATAAACAATTATCATTCTAGGATATACAACTTGTCAGTCACGTCACCACCAAATCAATGCTAAAAGTCCTGTTAAAATTAATAATAATTATAATCATCAATGGCAATATACAGAATAAAGAAATTAAAAAACGAGGAAGGATCATCTTGGAGACATAACATCAACTATATATTGTGTGGGAGAGGACCCAGCAAGCAAGGAGGGCGACTACGATGAGAGATCATTTATCATAACATGATCATCCACAGCTCCTCCAGCATTATTATTGTATTTAAACTTACACAAATACGAACTATAATATTAGAAGGTAATAAAATCAATGCTTCGGAGAATTTCAAATTTTATTCAAGATTATTAGTTGCATATGAATCAGAATTTACAGGACTTGAAAACGGAAAGTGGAAATCTTAATACAAAGTCACATTAACGTCCATATCTCCCATACCCACTGAAGCCACCAAAGCCACCACTGTGCCCTCGAAAGCCGCCATAGCGACTAAAGTCAGGTTCGGGGTCTGCGTCAGCGCTCCTTTTGCCATAGTGGTGCTGGCGGCTAATTCCTTGGAAGCCACCATAACCACCGTAACCTCCATAGCTTAGATGACCAGCACTGGGATCAGCCTCGGGGTCAGCCAGAGCTTCGGCATCGGCGCTTCTCTTGCCCCGGTAGGGACCATAGCCTCCATAGCCACCAAATCCACCATGGGATCTGCCGCCGAAGCTCCCAAATCCTCTATGGAAACCCGGGTCAGCTTCCGGGAGGGGCTCAGCGTTCCCAGTCACTGCAAGTGTGGCCACGAGGGCGAGTGCTGCTACCTGCATGAGGAAGATAATTAAGATCAAATTATCACTCACATGTATCTGTGCATAAATGCAATTTTGTCATGAATATTTTATGATCATTCAAAAACTCTCGTAACTGGATTTAGGTTATTAAAATGCAAAGTTAACGAACACTGAATTAAAATTGATTATATATTATACTTTTAGTACAGAACTTACCAAGACCTTCATGCTGGGGTGTTTCAGCAAGAACTGTGCCGTGAAGGAGGTTGTCGGTCCTTTTATACCTCTCGCTCAAGACACCCCGCCACCATTAGACCACGCTGGACTCTTTGGTTCCAAGGACGTACCCAGATTTCTTTGTAAATAATGTAAGGTTGATCATCATGACGTTAGTTTTATATTTAGAAAAAATAATTTAGGCCAGTACCTCGGAAGCCACTATAGGAACCATAGTCCCTAGATGACCAGCACTGGGATCAGCCTCAGGGTCAGGCAGAGCTTCTGCCTCGGCTTCTCTGGCGTGGTTTTTTTTTCCGTGTTGTGTTGTGTTTCACAGGTACCACAGATTAAACCAGGAAGTAAGGCATACTTTTGTTGCGTAGTGAAAATGAAATAGGAAGAGCACGTTTTCTTCGGCATTTATACCCACTACTAACTCGTAACAAAAAAGTATATAAGTAAAATGGAAAACCTAAGAATATATTTTATAGTTATGTAAAATGGGTGAAGAATAAACTCGGAAGCAATTGACTAATTTGCATATCGTATCGTCTTACAAATATTCTAAAATTTTCGATTATATATTAAAGAATTGTTTTCCTTTAAAACTCTTCTACAGTAATGAAAATCAAAACTTTCTAGGTTGAAAAACAATCTCTTTATTAAGATATTAGAAGATACTAACTCACACGGAAGGCGGAGCGTGAGAGTTCTTGTACCGACGACACACACACAGCTCCATAAGACCTTGGAAACAGTTCATTCAGCGTTGCTTGGTGAAGGTTGCGTTTCGGGTGGGAGGTATAAAAGGAGCGTCAGCCTCCCTCAAACCACAGTTCAAGCTGAAACACCTCAGCATGAAGGTCTTGGTGAGTCTTCAAATCATTTCAATGTTGTAAAATAATGTCATCTCATTTTTTATTGTGTCGTTGTAAATGTTAAATTTAGTATAATTTATTCTTTCTACATATAACATGTTTGTCCATTTTGTTTTCGTCACGTTATTATCTTTGTACAGGTAGCAGCACTCGCCCTCGTGGCCACACTTGCAGTGACCGGGAGCGCTGAGCCCCTCCCAGAAGCTGACCCGGGTTACCATAGTGGATTTAGAGGCTTCGGTGGCAGATCCCATGGAGGATTTGGAGGCTTCAGCGGCAGATCCCATGGAGGATATGGTGGTTATGGTGGTCATGGTGCCTACCGTGGCAAGAGAAACGCCGAGGCAAATCCTCAACCCGAAGCCGAAGCTTTGGCTGAGCCTGAGGCTGATCCCAGTGGTGGTCATGTAAGGTATGGTGGCTACGGTGTTTATGGTGGCTTCCAAGGAATTGGCCAGCACCACCACCACCATGGCAAAAGAAGCGCTGACGCAGACCCCGAACCTGACTTTAGTCGTTATGGCGGCTTTGGAGGGCAACCTGGTGGCTTTGGTGGCTTCAGAAGATATGGAGGATACGGACGATAACGCAATTTTTAGAAATTCCATCAACTGTATATCGGCTGTTGCAACAATTGCATGATTTAAGAATAAAATTGAATAAAATACTACAAGGAAATGTCAATAAAATCAAGCATACTTAACCAATGACTGATATCATTATCCTATTTGCATGTCCTTTGGTACTCCTATTAACTATAGACATCCGGGCGTGTGCCTGTCTGTTCCAGTTGTAGCTCCAACACGGTAACAGTTACAAATCTGAAGCCCACACACACACACACACACACACACACACACATATTACTTGGGTCCCAAGGTTGTGCAACTTTGTTATTATTATTCGCCACGGGCTACTGGGTGGTCCAGGCAAGACCCACGAAAAATACACAATCGTGATATCGCCACGACAATTGCGGGAAGTGATTAGAGATGTCAGGTAGAGCAACCTATAGTACTCAAGGTTATACAGTATATAACTAACCCGAAACTCGCTAAAATCAGGACGTTATTCCTACAAATTGATTCTCATCACTTTCGCATTGTACTAAACGTGGTTAGGGATTATATATATATATATATATATATATATATATATATATATATATATATATATATATATATATATATATATATATATATATATATATATATATATATATATATATATATATATATATATATATATAAACAAAAGGCAAAAAATTCGCCTGTTTTCTCAATGTATTTTTTTAATTATATGTGGGAATTTATTTGAACATACAACGTAAACGTGTATGACAACAAGAAATGAAAGAAGTTGCTTGAGAAGTGTTTATCTTGTCAATAAGAAGAAAGAGATTGCCTTTTTTCTTTTCTTTTTTAACTTGATGAGTAGCTCACCAGCGCTTTTGAGTCATCGACCCTCAACGAGGGACTAGGGGCGAAAACATATAGAAAGTAAAATAAATTAAAATAGAAAGAAAAAGGTTGGCATTAATTTACACCACGAAAGATGAGAAAAACCAGCTTTTTGAAGTGAGACAGATTGTATGAGTATGGAAACACAGAAGAAGGCTGAGCATTCAACAGTGTGAGGAAAGAAGGATGTACTCTAATGGGTTATTATAGTGTGACCCACATCCACAAGATAAACAGTGGCCACAGCAGGCAAGACAGGTGTTAGAGTTCACGGCCTTACCCGGTAGTACATAAGTGTAGTACATACAAGTGATCACGGGCCCTTTCTTGCCCTTGTGAAAGTTTTAACACTCGTGACAGCGTACAGCGAATGAGGGTGCGCCAAGTCCGTAGACTTGCATGGTTAATTAGGGTGAGCCAAGTCCATAGACTTGCATCGTTTTCCATCGTAAATAAAATTGTTAATTAATGCCTTCCTAAAGAAACCATCGACATGGGACCAGGTTTGTTCCACTCTACGAATTTTTTTGCGATTTTTCCACCAAGTTTGATGAAAAACGATTGTGCCGTTTCGGCTGCCCAGAACAGACACACACACAAACAGACAGGCAGACACACGCCTAGTCCTATAGTATATTAGATGATGTACAATCTGCAGAAAACATTGCCGATTAATATGAACCTGTAAAAGAGAGAGAGAGTGAAGCAACATTGTGGCGAAGTGAAAGGAATGAAAGATCTGAGTAATCTGATGGCTGCTATGGCGAACCATTGTAGAATTATAAGTAAAAAAAAAAAAATATTGATTCTGTTTAAGGAATACGTCACTGTCACTGATGGCTGGTGAGAAAAGCTTTACAATCTTTACACCATTATGATATTGACCCAAAATACAACACTACCTGGTCAACAACTTCTGTAAAATAATCATCTTATCTCAGATCCGAAATCCATCTCAGCACTTTTGTTCTTGATGACTAACAGATTTCGAATAGTTGTATTTGTAAGACTAAGGAACTAAGAAGTCAACAAAGACGTGAAGCTGTTAAATGTTCATGCTGTTGTTTTCGGAATATATACGTTGGTAAATTATATCTCCATTAAATATCTTATTCCAATAATTTTAGGGTGAGTATGTCTTATATGAATACTGTACTCCTTACAGTTTTCCTTATAACTCTCAATCTTTGTGTATCTTTTGATCATCCCTTTAACAACAAATTCATCCAACGACCGGCATCCTATGAAGTGTAATTGAAATTTGTATAATATGCCCCAAAAAACTATTCTTCGAGTCAATTTTAGTTTTAAGGGCGCAAGTATGCAATTATAACAGCCTGGACCTATTCCACACGGCAAATGGTCTCCCAAATAAAGGTCGACAGAACACAATCGAGAATTTTAATAAATGGCAAAGGAGCATAGTGACATGAACTCTCCTCTGGGGCAAGTAATTTCTCAATATTTAATAAACAATTATCATTCTAGGATATACAACTTGTCAGTCACGTCACCACCAAATCAATGCTAAAAGTCCTGTTAAAATTAATAATAATTATAATCATCAATGGCAATATAAAGAATAAAGAAATTAAAAAACGAGGAAGGATCATCTTGGAGACATAACATCAACTATATATTGTGTGGGAGAGGACCCAGCAAGCAAGGAGGGCGACTACGATGAGAGATCATTTATCATAACATGATCATCCACAGCTCCTCCAGCATTATTATTGTATTTAAACTTACACAAATACGAACTATAATATTAGAAGGTAATAAAATCAATGCTTCGGAGAATTTCAAATTTTATTCAAGATTATTAGTTGCATATGAATCAGAATTTACAGGACTTGAAAACGGAAAGTGGAAATCTTAATAAAAAGTCACGTTAACGTCCATATCTCCCATACCCACTGAAGCCACCAAAGCCACCACTGTGCCCTCGAAAGCCGCCATAGCGACTAAAGTCAGGTTCGGGGTCTGCGTCAGCGCTCCTTTTGCCATAGTGGTGCTGGCGGCTAATTCCTTGGAAGCCACCATAACCACCGTAACCTCCATAGCTTAGATGACCAGCACTGGGATCAGCCTCGGGGTCAGCCAGAGCTTCGGCATCGGCGCTTCTCTTGCCCCGGTAGGGACCATAGCCTCCATAGCCACCAAATCCACCATGGGATCTGCCGCCGAAGCTCCCAAATCCTCTATGGAAACCCGGGTCAGCTTCCGGGAGGGGCTCAGCGTTCCCAGTCACTGCAAGTGTGGCCACGAGGGCGAGTGCTGCTACCTGCATGAGGAAGATAATTAAGATCAAATTATCACTCACATGTATCTGTGCATAAATGCAATTTTGTCATGAATATTTTATGATCATTCAAAAACTCTCGTAACTGGATTTAGGTTATTAAAATGCAAAGTTAACGAACACTGAATTAAAATTGATTATATATTATACTTTTAGTACAGAACTTACCAAGACCTTCATGCTGGGGTGTTTCAGCAAGAACTGTGCCGTGAAGGAGGTTGTCGGTCCTTTTATACCTCTCGCTCAAGACACCCCGCCACCATTAGACCACGCTGGACTCTTTGGTTCCAAGGACGTACCCAGATTTCTTTGTAAATAATGTAAGGTTGATCATCATGACGTTAGTTTTATATTTAGAAAAAATAATTTAGGCCAGTACCTCGGAAGCCACTATAGGAACCATAGTCCCTAGATGACCAGCACTGGGATCAGCCTCAGGGTCAGGCAGAGCTTCTGCCTCGGCTTCTCTGGCGTGGTTTTTTTTTCCGTGTTGTGTTGTGTTTCACAGGTACCACAGATTAAACCAGGAAGTAAGGCATACTTTTGTTGCGTAGTGAAAATGAAATAGGAAGAGCACGTTTTCTTCGGCATTTATACCCACTACTAACTCGTAACAAAAAAGTATATAAGTAAAATGGAAAACCTAAGAATATATTTTATAGTTATGTAAAATGGGTGAAGAATAAACTCGGAAGCAATTGACTAATTTGCATATCGTATCGTCTTACAAATATTCTAAAATTTTCGATTATATATTAAAGAATTGTTTTCCTTTAAAACTCTTCTACAGTAATGAAAATCAAAACTTTCTAGGTTGAAAAACAATCTCTTTATTAAGATATTAGAAGATACTAACTCACACGGAAGGCGGAGCGTGAGAGTTCTTGTACCGACGACACACACACAGCTCCATAAGACCTTGGAAACAGTTCATTCAGCGTTGCTTGGTGAAGGTTGCGTTTCGGGTGGGAGGTATAAAAGGAGCGTCAGCCTCCCTCAAACCACAGTTCAAGCTGAAACACCTCAGCATGAAGGTCTTGGTGAGTCTTCAAATCATTTCAATGTTGTAAAATAATGTCATCTCATTTTTTATTGTGTCGTTGTAAATGTTAAATTTAGTATAATTTATTCTTTCTACATATAACATGTTTGTCCATTTTGTTTTCGTCACGTTATTATCTTTGTACAGGTAGCAGCACTCGCCCTCGTGGCCACACTTGCAGTGACCGGGAGCGCTGAGCCCCTCCCAGAAGCTGACCCGGGTTACCATAGTGGATTTAGAGGCTTCGGTGGCAGATCCCATGGAGGATTTGGAGGCTTCAGCGGCAGATCCCATGGAGGATATGGTGGTTATGGTGGTCATGGTGCCTACCGTGGCAAGAGAAACGCCGAGGCAAATCCTCAACCCGAAGCCGAAGCTTTGGCTGACCCTGAGGCTGATCCCAGTGCTGGTCATGAAAGGTATGGTGGCTACGGTGTTTATGGTGGCTTCCAAGGAATTGGCCAGCACCACCACCACCATGGCAAAAGAAGCGCTGACGCAGACCCCGAACCTGACTTTAGTCGTTATGGCGGCTTTGGAGGGCAACGTGGTGGCTTTGGTGGCTTCAGAAGATATGGAGGATACGGACGATAACGCAATTTTTAGAAATTCCATCAACTGTATATCGGCTGTTGCAACAATTGCATGATTTAAGAATAAAATTGAATAAAATACTACAAGGAAATGTCAATAAAATCAAGCATACTTAACCAATGACTGATATCATTATCCTATTTGCATGTCCTTTGGTACTCCTATTAACTATAGACATCCGGGCGTGTGCCTGTCTGTTCCAGTTGTAGCTCCAACACGGTAACAGTTACAAATCTGAAGCCCACACACACACACACACACACACACACACACATATTACTTGGGTCCCAAGGTTGTGCAACTTTGTTATTATTATTCGCCACGGGCTACTGGGTGGTCCAGGCAAGACCCACGAAAAATACACAATCGTGATATCGCCACGACAATTGCGGGAAGTGATTAGAGATGTCAGGTAGAGCAACCTATAGTACTCAAGGTTATACAGTATATAACTAACCCGAAACTCGCTAAAATCAGGACGTTATTCCTACAAATTGATTCTCATCACTTTCGCATTGTACTAAACGTGGTTAGGGATTATATATATATATATATATATATATATATATATATATATATATATATATATATATATATATATATATATATATATATATATATATATATATATATATATATATATATATATATATATATACGGATACTGAATAAACAAAGGCAAAAATTCGCCTGTTTTCTCAATGTATTTTTTAATATATGACAGGAATTTAATGAACATACAACGTAAACATCGTGTATGACAACAAGAAGCTGAAAGTTGCCCGAAAGTGTTTATCTTGTCAATAAGAAGAAAGGTTGCCTTTTTCTTTTCTTTTTAACGTGAGTAGCTCCCAGCGCACAGGTCATCGACCCTCACGGGGACTAGGGGGCGAAAACATATAAGTAAAAATAAATTAAAAATAGAAAAGAAAAAGGTTGTATTAATTACACACCACGAGATGAGGAAAACCAGCTTTTTGAAGGGAGACAGATTGTATGTGTATGGAAACACAAACAAGGCAGAGCATTCCACTTTTTGGCTGTGTGAGGAAAGAAGGATGTACTATGACGGGTTATTCTAGTGTGACCCACATCCACAGATGAAACGGTGGCCACAGCAGGCAAGACGAGTGTTACGAGTTCACGGCCTTGCCGGTAGTACATACAAGTGTAGTACATACAAGTGATCGCGAGCACGTTCGTGCCCTTGTGAGAGTTTGAACGCTCGTGACAGCGTACAGCGAATGAGGGTGCGCCACGTCCGTAGACTTGCATGGTTAATTAGTGTGCGCCAAGTCCGTAGACTTGCATCGTTTTCCATCGTAAATAAAATTGTTAACTAATGCCTTCCTAAAGAAACCATCGACATGGGACCAGGTTTGTTCCACTCTACGAATTTTTTTGCGATTTTTTCACCAAGTTTGATGAGAAACGATTGTGCCGTTTCGGCTGCCCAGAACAGACACACACACACACACAGCCACACGCCTAGTCCTATAGTATATTAGATGATGTACAATCTACCGAACATTGCCGATTAATGAACCTGTAAAAGAGAGAGAGAGTGAAGCAACATTGTGGCGAAGTGAAAGGAATGAAAGATCTGAGTAATCTGATGGCTGCTATGGCGAACCATTGTAGAATTATAAGTAAAAAAAAAAAAATATTGATTCTGTTTAAGGAATACGTCACTGTCAGTGATGGCTGGTGAGAAAAGCTTTACAATCTTTACACCATTATGATATTGACCCAAAATACAACACTACCTGGTCAACAACTGTAAAATAATCATCTTATCTCAGATCCGAAATCCATCTCAGCACTTTTGTTCTTGATGACTAACAGATTTCGAATAGTTGTATTTGTAAGACTAAGGAACTAAGAAGTCAACAAAGACGTGAAGCTGTTAAATGTTCATGCTGTTGTTTTCGGAATATATACGTTGGTAAATTATATCTCCATTAAATATCTTATTCCAATAATTTTAGGGTGAGTATTAGTCTTATATGAATACTGTACTCCTTACAGTTTTCCTTATAACTCTCAATCTTTGTGTATCTTTTGATCATCCCTTTAACAACAAATTCATCCAACGACCGGCATCCTATGAAGTGTAATTGAAATTTGTATAATATGCCCCAAAAAACTATTCTTCGAGTCAATTTTAGTTTTAAGGGCGCAAGTATGCAATTATAACAGCCTGGACCTATTCCACACGGCAAATGGTCTCCCAAATAAAGGTCGACAGAACACAATCGAGAATTTTAATAAATGGCAAAGGAGCATAGTGACATGAACTCTCCTCTGGGGCAAGTAATTTCTCAATATTTAATAAACAATTATCATTCTAGGATATACAACTTGTCAGTCACGTCACCACCAAATCAATGCTAAAAGTCCTGTTAAAATTAATAATAATTATAATCATCAATGGCAATATAAAGAATAAAGAAATTAAAAAACGAGGAAGGATCATCTTGGAGACATAACATCAACTATATATTGTGTGGGAGAGGACCCAGCAAGCAAGGAGGGCGACTACGATGAGAGATCATTTATCATAACATGATCATCCACAGCTCCTCCAGCATTATTATTGTATTTAAACTTACACAAATACGAACTATAATATTAGAAGGTAATAAAATCAATGCTTCGGAGAATTTCAAATTTTATTCAAGATTATTAGTTGCATATGAATCAGAATTTACAGGACTTGAAAACGGAAAGTGGAAATCTTAATAAAAAGTCACGTTAACGTCCATATCTCCCATACCCACTGAAGCCACCAAAGCCACCACTGTGCCCTCGAAAGCCGCCATAGCGACTAAAGTCAGGTTCGGGGTCTGCGTCAGCGCTCCTTTTGCCATAGTGGTGCTGGCGGCTAATTCCTTGGAAGCCACCATAACCACCGTAACCTCCATAGCTTAGATGACCAGCACTGGGATCAGCCTCGGGGTCAGCCAGAGCTTCGGCATCGGCGCTTCTCTTGCCCCGGTAGGGACCATAGCCTCCATAGCCACCAAATCCACCATGGGATCTGCCGCCGAAGCTCCCAAATCCTCTATGGAAACCCGGGTCAGCTTCCGGGAGGGGCTCAGCGTTCCCAGTCACTGCAAGTGTGGCCACGAGGGCGAGTGCTGCTACCTGCATGAGGAAGATAATTAAGATCAAATTATCACTCACATGTATCTGTGCATAAATGCAATTTTGTCATGAATATTTTATGATCATTCAAAAACTCTCGTAACTGGATTTAGGTTATTAAAATGCAAAGTTAACGAACACTGAATTAAAATTGATTATATATTATACTTTTAGTACAGAACTTACCAAGACCTTCATGCTGGGGTGTTTCAGCAAGAACTGTGCCGTGAAGGAGGTTGTCGGTCCTTTTATACCTCTCGCTCAAGACACCCCGCCACCATTAGACCACGCTGGACTCTTTGGTTCCAAGGACGTACCCAGATTTCTTTGTAAATAATGTAAGGTTGATCATCATGACGTTAGTTTTATATTTAGAAAAAATAATTTAGGCCAGTACCTCGGAAGCCACTATAGGAACCATAGTCCCTAGATGACCAGCACTGGGATCAGCCTCAGGGTCAGGCAGAGCTTCTGCCTCGGCTTCTCTGGCGTGGTTTTTTTTTCCGTGTTGTGTTGTGTTTCACAGGTACCACAGATTAAACCAGGAAGTAAGGCATACTTTTGTTGCGTAGTGAAAATGAAATAGGAAGAGCACGTTTTCTTCGGCATTTATACCCACTACTAACTCGTAACAAAAAAGTATATAAGTAAAATGGAAAACCTAAGAATATATTTTATAGTTATGTAAAATGGGTGAAGAATAAACTCGGAAGCAATTGACTAATTTGCATATCGTATCGTCTTACAAATATTCTAAAATTTTCGATTATATATTAAAGAATTGTTTTCCTTTAAAACTCTTCTACAGTAATGAAAATCAAAACTTTCTAGGTTGAAAAACAATCTCTTTATTAAGATATTAGAAGATACTAACTCACACGGAAGGCGGAGCGTGAGAGTTCTTGTACCGACGACACACACACAGCTCCATAAGACCTTGGAAACAGTTCATTCAGCGTTGCTTGGTGAAGGTTGCGTTTCGGGTGGGAGGTATAAAAGGAGCGTCAGCCTCCCTCAAACCACAGTTCAAGCTGAAACACCTCAGCATGAAGGTCTTGGTGAGTCTTCAAATCATTTCAATGTTGTAAAATAATGTCATCTCATTTTTTATTGTGTCGTTGTAAATGTTAAATTTAGTATAATTTATTCTTTCTACATATAACATGTTTGTCCATTTTGTTTTCGTCACGTTATTATCTTTGTACAGGTAGCAGCACTCGCCCTCGTGGCCACACTTGCAGTGACCGGGAGCGCTGAGCCCCTCCCAGAAGCTGACCCGGGTTACCATAGTGGATTTAGAGGCTTCGGTGGCAGATCCCATGGAGGATTTGGAGGCTTCAGCGGCAGATCCCATGGAGGATATGGTGGTTATGGTGGTCATGGTGCCTACCGTGGCAAGAGAAACGCCGAGGCAAATCCTCAACCCGAAGCCGAAGCTTTGGCTGAGCCTGAGGCTGATCCCAGTGGTGGTCATGTAAGGTATGGTGGCTACGGTGTTTATGGTGGCTTCCAAGGAATTGGCCAGCACCACCACCACCATGGCAAAAGAAGCGCTGACGCAGACCCCGAACCTGACTTTAGTCGTTATGGCGGCTTTGGAGGGCAACCTGGTGGCTTTGGTGGCTTCAGAAGATATGGAGGATACGGACGATAACGCAATTTTTAGAAATTCCATCAACTGTATATCGGCTGTTGCAACAATTGCATGATTTAAGAATAAAATTGAATAAAATACTACAAGGAAATGTCAATAAAATCAAGCATACTTAACCAATGACTGATATCATTATCCTATTTGCATGTCCTTTGGTACTCCTATTAACTATAGACATCCGGGCGTGTGCCTGTCTGTTCCAGTTGTAGCTCCAACACGGTAACAGTTACAAATCTGAAGCCCACACACACACACACACACACACACACACACATATTACTTGGGTCCCAAGGTTGTGCAACTTTGTTATTATTATTCGCCACGGGCTACTGGGTGGTCCAGGCAAGACCCACGAAAAATACACAATCGTGATATCGCCACGACAATTGCGGGAAGTGATTAGAGATGTCAGGTAGAGCAACCTATAGTACTCAAGGTTATACAGTATATAACTAACCCGAAACTCGCTAAAATCAGGACGTTATTCCTACAAATTGATTCTCATCACTTTCGCATTGTACTAAACGTGGTTAGGGATTATATATATATATATATATATATATATATATATATATATATATATATATATATATATATATATATATATATATATATATATATATATATATATATATATATATATATATATATATATACGGATACTGAATAAACAAAGGCAAAAATTCGCCTGTTTTCTCAATGTATTTTTTAATTATATGACAGGAATTTAATGAACATACAACGTAAACATCGTGTATGACAACAAGAAGCTGAAAGTTGCCCGAAAGTGTTTATCTTGTCAATAAGAAGAAAGGTTGCCTTTTTCTTTTCTTTTTAACGGTGAGTAGCTCACCAGCGCACAGGTCATCGACCCTCAACGGGGACTAGGGGGCGAAAACATATAAGTAAAAATAAATTAAAATAGAAAAGAAAAAGTTGTATTAATTTACACCACGAAGATGAGGAAAACCAGCTTTTTGAAGGGAGACAGATTGTATGTGTATGGAAACACAGAACAAGGCAGAGCATTCCACTTTTTGGCTGTGTGAGGAAAGAAGGATGTACTATGACGGGTTATTCTAGTGTGACCCACATCCACAGATGAAACGGTGGCCACAGCAGGCAAGACGAGTGTTACGAGTTCACGGCCTTGCCGGTAGTACATACAAGTGTAGTACATACAAGTGATCGCGAGCACGTTCGTGCCCTTGTGAGAGTTTGAACGCTCGTGACAGCGTACAGCGAATGAGGGTGCGCCACGTCCGTAGACTTGCATGGTTAATTAGTGTGCGCCAAGTCCGTAGACTTGCATCGTTTTCCATCGTAAATAAAATTGTTAACTAATGCCTTCCTAAAGAAACCATCGACATGGGACCAGGTTTGTTCCACTCAACGAATTTTTTTGCGATTTTTTCACCAAGTTTGATGAGAAACGATTGTGCCGTTTCGGCTGCCCAGAACAGACACACACACACACACAGCCACACGCCTAGTCCTATAGTATATTAGATGATGTACAATCTACCGAACATTGCCGATTAATGAACCTGTAAAAGAGAGAGTGAAGCAACATTGTGGCGAAGTGAAAGGAATGAAAGATCTGAGTAATCTGATGGCTGCTATGGCGAACCATTGTAGAATTATAAGTAAAAAAAAAAAAATATTGATTCTGTTTAAGGAATACGTCACTGTCAGTGATGGCTGGTGAGAAAAGCTTTACAATCTTTACACCATTATGATATTGACCCAAAATACAACACTACCTGGTCAACAACTTCTGTAAAATAATCATCTTATCTCAGATCCGAAATCCATCTCAGCACTTTGGTTCTTGATGACTAACAGATTTCGAATAGTTGTATTTGTAAGACTAAGGAACTAAGAAGTCAACAAAGACGTGAAGCTGTTAAATGTTCATGCTGTTGTTCTCGGAATATATACGTTGGTAAATTATATCTCCATTAAATATCTTATTCCAATAATTTTAGGGTGAGTATTAGTCTTATATGAATACTGTACTCCTTACAGTTTTCCTTATAACTCTCAATCTTTGTGTATCTTTTGATCATCCCTTTAACAACAAATTCATCCAACGACCGGCATCCTATGAAGTGTAATTGAAATTTGTATAATATGCCCCAAAAAACTATTCTTCGAGTCAATTTTAGTTTTAAGGGCGCAAGTATGCAATTATAACAGCCTGGACCTATTCCACACGGCAAATGGTCTCCCAAATAAAGGTCGACAGAACACAATCGAGAATTTTAATAAATGGCAAAGGAGCATAGTGACATGAACTCTCCTCTGGGGCAAGTAATTTCTCAATATTTAATAAACAATTATCATTCTAGGATATACAACTTGTCAGTCACGTCACCACCAAATCAATGCTAAAAGTCCTGTTAAAATTAATAATAATTATAATCATCAATGGCAATATAAAGAATAAAGAAATTAAAAAACGAGGAAGGATCATCTTGGAGACATAACATCAACTATATATTGTGTGGGAGAGGACCCAGCAAGCAAGGAGGGCGACTACGATGAGAGATCATTTATCATAACATGATCATCCACAGCTCCTCCAGCATTATTATTGTATTTAAACTTACACAAATACGAACTATAATATTAGAAGGTAATAAAATCAATGCTTCGGAGAATTTCAAATTTTATTCAAGATTATTAGTTGCATATGAATCAGAATTTACAGGACTTGAAAACGGAAAGTGGAAATCTTAATAAAAAGTCACGTTAACGTCCATATCTCCCATACCCACTGAAGCCACCGAAAGCCATCAGCCACCACTGTGCCCTCCAAAGCCGCCATAGCGACAAAAGCCAGGTTCGGGGTCTGCGTCAGCGCTCCTTTTGCCATAGTGGTGCTGGCGGCTAATTCCTTGGAAGCCACCATAACCACCGTAACCTCCATAGCTTAGATGACCAGCACTGGGATCAGCCTCGGGGTCAGCCAGAGCTTCGGCTTCAGCGCTTCTTTTGCCGCGGTAGCCACCATAGCCTCCATAGCCACCAAATCCACCATGGGATCTGCCCCCGAAGCTCCCAAATCCTCTATGGAAACCCGGGTCAGCTTCCGGGAGGGGCTCAGCGTTCCCAGTCACTGCAAGTGTGGCCACGAGGGCGAGTGCTGCTACCTGCATGAGGAAGATAATTAAGATCAAATTATCACTCACATGTATCTGTGCATAAATGCAATTTTGTCATGATTATTTTATGATCATTCAAAAACTCACGCAACTGGATTTAGGTTATTAAAATGCAAAGTTAACGAACACTGAATTAAAATTGATTATATATTATACTTTTAGTACAGAACTTACCAAGACCTTCATGCTGGGGTGTTTCAGCAAGAACTGTGCCGTGAAGGAGGTTGTCGGTCCTTTTATACCTCTCGCTCAAGACACCCCGCCACCATTAGACCACGCTGGACTCTTTGGTTCCAAGGACGTACCCAGATTTCTTTGTAAATAATGTAAGGTTGATCATCATGACGTTAGTTTTATATTTAGAAAAAATAATTTAGGCCAGTACCTCGGAAGCCACTATAGGAACCATAGTCCCTAGATGACCAGCACTGGGATCAGCCTCAGGGTCAGGCAGAGCTTCTGCCTCGGCTTCTCTGGCGTGGTTTTTTTTTCCGTGTTGTGTTGTGTTTCACAGGTACCACAGATTAAACCAGGAAGTAAGGCATACTTTTGTTGCGTAGTGAAAATGAAATAGGAAGAGCACGTTTTCTTCGGCATTTATACCCACTACTAACTCGTAACAAAAAAGTATATAAGTAAAATGGAAAACCTAAGAATATATTTTATAGTTATGTAAAATGGGTGAAGAATAAACTCGGAAGCAATTGACTAATTTGCATATCGTATCGTCTTACAAATATTCTAAAATTTTCGATTATATATTAAAGAATTGTTTTCCTTTAAAACTCTTCTACAGTAATGAAAATCAAAACTTTCTAGGTTGAAAAACAATCTCTTTATTAAGATATTAGAAGATACTAACTCACACGGAAGGCGGAGCGTGAGAGTTCTTGTACCGACGACACACACACAGCTCCATAAGACCTTGGAAACAGTTCATTCAGCGTTGCTTGGTGAAGGTTGCGTTTCGGGTGGGAGGTATAAAAGGAGCGTCAGCCTCCCTCAAACCACAGTTCAAGCTGAAACACCTCAGCATGAAGGTCTTGGTGAGTCTTCAAATCATTTCAATGTTGTAAAATAATGTCATCTCATTTTTTATTGTGTCGTTGTAAATGTTAAATTTAGTATAATTTATTCTTTCTACATATAACATGTTTGTCCATTTTGTTTTCGTCACGTTATTATCTTTGTACAGGTAGCAGCACTCGCCCTCGTGGCCACACTTGCAGTGACCGGGAGCGCTGAGCCCCTCCCAGAAGCTGACCCGGGTTACCATAGTGGATTTAGAGGCTTCGGTGGCAGATCCCATGGAGGATTTGGAGGCTTCAGCGGCAGATCCCATGGAGGATATGGTGGTTATGGTGGTCATGGTGCCTACCGTGGCAAGAGAAACGCCGAGGCAAATCCTCAACCCGAAGCCGAAGCTTTGGCTGAGCCTGAGGCTGATCCCAGTGGTGGTCATGTAAGGTATGGTGGCTACGGTGTTTATGGTGGCTTCCAAGGAATTGGCCAGCACCACCACCACCATGGCAAAAGAAGCGCTGACGCAGACCCCGAACCTGACTTTAGTCGTTATGGCGGCTTTGGAGGGCAACCTGGTGGCTTTGGTGGCTTCAGAAGATATGGAGGATACGGACGATAACGCAATTTTTAGAAATTCCATCAACTGTATATCGGCTGTTGCAACAATTGCATGATTTAAGAATAAAATTGAATAAAATACTACAAGGAAATGTCAATAAAATCAAGCATACTTAACCAATGACTGATATCATTATCCTATTTGCATGTCCTTTGGTACTCCTATTAACTATAGACATCCGGGCGTGTGCCTGTCTGTTCCAGTTGTAGCTCCAACACGGTAACAGTTACAAATCTGAAGCCCCACACACACACACACACACACACACACACACACACACACACACATACACAATCACACACACAAACACACACACACACACACACACACACACACACACACACATACACAATCACACACACATACACAATCACACACACACACACACACACACACACACACACACACACACACACACACACACACATATTACTTGGGTCCCAAGGTTGTGCAACTTTGTTATTATTATTCGCCACGGACTACTGGGTGGTCCAGGCAAGACCCACGAAAAATACACAATCGTGATATCGCCACGACAATTGCGGGAAGTGATTAGAGATGTCAGGTAGAGCAACCTATAGTACTCAAGGTTATACAGTATATAACTAACCCGAAACTCGCTAAAATCAGGACGTTATTCCTACAAATTGATTCTCATCACTTTCGCATTGTACTAAACGTGGTTAGGGATATATATATATATATATATATATATATATATATATATATATATATATATATATATATATATATATATATATATATATATATACGGATACTGAATAAACAAAGGCAAAAATTCGCCTGTTTTCTCAATGTATTTTTTAATAATATGACAGGAATGTAATGAACATACAACGTAAACATCGTGTATGACAACAAGAAGCTGAAAGTTGCCCGAAAGTGTTTATCTTGTCAATAAGAAGAAAGGTTGCCTTTTTTTTTTTTTTTAACGGTGAGTAGCTCACCAGCGCACAGGTCATCGACCCTCAACGGGGACTAGGGGGCGAAAAAATATAAATAAAAATAAATTAAAATTAGAAAAGAAAAAAGTTGTATTAATTTACACCACGAAGATGAGGAAAACCAGCTTTTTGAAGGGAGACAGATTGTATGTGTATGGAAACACAGAACAAGGCAGAGCATTCCACTTTTTGGCTGTGTGAGGAAAGAAGGATGTACTATGACGGGTTATTCTAGTGTGACCCACATCCACAGATGAAACGGTGGCCACAGCAGGCAAGACGAGTGTTACGAGTTCACGGCCTTGCCGGTAGTACATACAAGTGTAGTACATACAAGTGATCGCGAGCACGTTCGTGCCCTTGTGAGAGTTTGAACGCTCGTGACAGCGTACAGCGAATGAGGGTGCGCCACGTCCGTAGACTTGCATGGTTAATTAGTGTGCGCCAAGTCCGTAGACTTGCATCGTTTTCCATCGTAAATAAAATTGTTAACTAATGCCTTCCTAAAGAAACCATCGACATGGGACCAGGTTTGTTCCACTCAACGAATTTTTTTGCGATTTTTTCACCAAGTTTGATGAGAAACGATTGTGCCGTTTCGGCTGCCCAGAACAGACACACACACACACACAGCCACACGCCTAGTCCTATAGTATATTAGATGATGTACAATCTACCGAACATTGCCGATTAATGAACCTGTAAAAGAGAGAGTGAAGCAACATTGTGGCGAAGTGAAAGGAATGAAAGATCTGAGTAATCTGATGGCTGCTATGGCGAACCATTGTAGAATTATAAGTAAAAAAAAAAAAATATTGATTCTGTTTAAGGAATACGTCACTGTCACTGATGGCTGGTGAGAAAAGCTTTACAATCTTTACACCATTATGATATTGACCCAAAATACAACACTACCTGGTCAACAACTTCTGTAAAATAATCATCTTATCTCAGATCCGAAATCCATCTCAGCACTTTTGTTCTTGATGACTAACAGATTTCGAATAGTTGTATTTGTAAGACTAAGGAACTAAGAAGTCAACAAAGACGTGAAGCTGTTAAATGTTCATGCTGTTGTTTTCGGAATATATACGTTGGTAAATTATATCTCCATTAAATATCTTATTCCAATAATTTTAGGGTGAGTATTAGTCTTATATGAATACTGTACTCCTTACAGTTTTCCTTATAACTCTCAATCTTTGTGTATCTTTTGATCATCCCTTTAACAACAAATTCATCCAACGACCGGCATCCTATGAAGTGTAATTGAAATTTGTATAATATGCCCCAAAAAACTATTCTTCGAGTCAATTTTAGTTTTAAGGGCGCAAGTATGCAATTATAACAGCCTGGACCTATTCCACACGGCAAATGGTCTCCCAAATAAAGGTCGACAGAACACAATCGAGAATTTTAATAAATGGCAAAGGAGCATAGTGACATGAACTCTCCTCTGGGGCAAGTAATTTCTCAATATTTAATAAACAATTATCATTCTAGGATATACAACTTGTCAGTCACGTCACCACCAAATCAATGCTAAAAGTCCTGTTAAAATTAATAATAATTATAATCATCAATGGCAATATAAAGAATAAAGAAATTAAAAAACGAGGAAGGATCATCTTGGAGACATAACATCAACTATATATTGTGTGGGAGAGGACCCAGCAAGCAAGGAGGGCGACTACGATGAGAGATCATTTATCATAACATGATCATCCACAGCTCCTCCAGCATTATTATTGTATTTAAACTTACACAAATACGAACTATAATATTAGAAGGTAATAAAATCAATGCTTCGGAGAATTTCAAATTTTATTCAAGATTATTAGTTGCATATGAATCAGAATTTACAGGACTTGAAAACGGAAAGTGGAAATCTTAATAAAAAGTCACGTTAACGTCCATATCTCCCATACCCACTGAAGCCACCAAAGCCACCACTGTGCCCTCGAAAGCCGCCATAGCGACTAAAGTCAGGTTCGGGGTCTGCGTCAGCGCTCCTTTTGCCATAGTGGTGCTGGCGGCTAATTCCTTGGAAGCCACCATAACCACCGTAACCTCCATAGCTTAGATGACCAGCACTGGGATCAGCCTCGGGGTCAGCCAGAGCTTCGGCATCGGCGCTTCTCTTGCCCCGGTAGGGACCATAGCCTCCATAGCCACCAAATCCACCATGGGATCTGCCGCCGAAGCTCCCAAATCCTCTATGGAAACCCGGGTCAGCTTCCGGGAGGGGCTCAGCGTTCCCAGTCACTGCAAGTGTGGCCACGAGGGCGAGTGCTGCTACCTGCATGAGGAAGATAATTAAGATCAAATTATCACTCACATGTATCTGTGCATAAATGCAATTTTGTCATGAATATTTTATGATCATTCAAAAACTCTCGTAACTGGATTTAGGTTATTAAAATGCAAAGTTAACGAACACTGAATTAAAATTGATTATATATTATACTTTTAGTACAGAACTTACCAAGACCTTCATGCTGGGGTGTTTCAGCAAGAACTGTGCCGTGAAGGAGGTTGTCGGTCCTTTTATACCTCTCGCTCAAGACACCCCGCCACCATTAGACCACGCTGGACTCTTTGGTTCCAAGGACGTACCCAGATTTCTTTGTAAATAATGTAAGGTTGATCATCATGACGTTAGTTTTATATTTTGGATCTTCGGAGGCCAAATGGTTGAAGAATGTTTTTGTATCACATGCACTGAATAATAGAGGGAGGAATCTTACAAAGTCAAATACATTACAACCTGGAACTAACCTCCGTACTGGCAGAACAATTACACGCTACTAAAATTACCAGAAGACAAAATAACAAACATAAGGCTGTATTGACCGCTGTCATACATGTTAGTTAACTTAAAAGCAGACGATTCATATTACGCTTAATAGTCCATAAAACATGTCGCTTTAACTTGTTTCTTGAGTCCCTCTCTATAATGGTGTGAGACCGACAGCTGGCCCCAACTGTACAACCTTTATAGCAGTGGTTCTTAACCTTTTTACTACCACGCCCCCTCTAGGCATTGGTCCTTCCCTCCACGCCCCCTCTAGGAATTGGTCCTTCCCTCCACGCCCCCTCTAGGAATTAGTCCTTCCCTCCACGCCCCCCTTGCATCTATGAACAAAACATAAGGCACGTGTAAGGTAAGATAAACATCACCACGTGCTCATGAACACCACAACATCATGATAATCACAACCACATGATCAATAACAAACATATGATCGTAAGGTTCGTAAACACTACAAGTGACTACAATCATACATGATCATAAACACCACCATATCATTAACAAGCATCACATTATCATAAACACCACCACATAATTATTAAGTAAATATTAACAAACACCACAACATTATAGTAAACACATCATGATCATAAACATATGAGTATTAAGAAACAAATCAATATCATCATAAACAACTTTACCATAACCACCGTTACCACCACATGATTTTAAGCACCACCAACTTCTGATAAAATACAAACGGAATTCAAAACTTGTGAATAACAAACAGAGCAACACATGCGTGTTCACAATTCACCAATAAACTTATGACTGCTTACTATTTTTAGGTAAATATAACAACTGGGATAAACATACCTCAACAGCCTTAACTGAATAATTGTGAGAGAAGAGGAATTATTGCCACGGACGTGTGCAGATGACTGGGAGAGAACGGGGCTCACCAGTCACCAACGAGCAGTATACAGGTCCAGGACGAGTTAACCCCCCCCCATGAGTTTCGAAGGAGAGGGAGGGTCAATAAGTACAGAAAATGGTAAGCCCTAAGTAAAAAAAGTAGCCTAAAAAAACTAAAGTTATAAGGCGATACTTTTGCATTTTTTCATAAACTTCTCAATATTAGCCCACGCTCTTGTTAAAAAAATAAAAACTATAATTATAATTAGAGAAATTCCTACTTTTTCCCTAGGGCTTGCGCCCCCCTGGAAATTACTGACGCCCCAAAAAGGGGGGCGCGCCCCCCAGGTTAAGAACCACTGCTAGTGTATAGGGAATGAGACCGGCTGGCTAATATTATTCAGTGTTATAGAAGAAACATATTTTTTCGGAGGAATAATAATAATAATAATAATAATAATAATAATAATAATAATAATAATAATAATAATAATAATAATAATAAACAATCGGTGCATAATTATATGTTAATTAAGTTAAATTCGAATGTATATATATATATATATATATATATATATGTATACAGTAGATAGGACAAGTATATAAACAGCTATTCTACAAAATTATGTTGAATATAGCATAGGGGCCTTCAAGCCTCACTTAAAAGGCACTGGGTAATGAGAAAAACATTTAGTGAAGGGAAAGTGCTGGCGCTTAAACCCAGTCAACAAAGGATCAAGGGTAAGAAGGTTGTGTGCCCTGTACATGAGTGTCCGACCACCACTGTGACACTCGAGCATTTCCACTTCGCTTCCCCCGGGCCAGTTTACATACGCTTCGAAAACACAAAAATAACGAGAAAAGACACAATAGACATGAGAGAATAAAATTTCGCCAGTCTTTTTTTTCACGATATAAACACTGAGCTCCTTTTCTCAAGTAGACGGGCGGGTGATTTCTTTCGCAAGTGAGATCACGATTAGGATGGAAAAGACCAAGTTTCAAGGTGGAATGGTGTTGACGAAGCTTCGAGTGTCGTGTCGTTACATCACTACACTGTGACTAAACCTTCCGATTTTGGGAGACTTTTTTATTTCTAGCATTACAACTAACAAAGCAGTTACGAGTTATGAAAATTAACCTTACAGTAATTGCCTATTAAAGGAAAGGATTTTTTTGATAGTAAATATACCTAATTAAAACTTAAATATAATAAAGAGGATCGTGTGTTTTACCAATCCTCTTCCAGGTAATATTCCATCACACTGTACAAACTTACTGAGCATTAAAGAATATAGAAGCAACTGTTTAATAATGCAACACTGATTATCATTTACGGGTAGCTTGGGTACAGATATATCAACGTAAATCTTCATTTAAAAATAAATAGTGAATCGGTAGTGCAGATGTTAAAATGTCGGTGAATTGCTCTACTGTCCCGTGTTCTACTTAATTTGACGACACAGTCCACGCGATAATATTTTGGTCAATAGAGACTTCATGCAATTCACTTGGTAAATAGAAAAACGACGTCATCATTATCGTTCCTGTTCCATGGCCAAAGATATCTTGGTAAGACCTTGTACACAGCCTGACCAGTGTCTCCTGATGGTGGGAGAGACACGGCTCATTGAGGTATAAAGACTGTCAACCGCCTTCTAAACCTGAACGTCTGGGCTCAGTTTCCGCTGAAACACCCAAGCATGAAGGTCTTGGTGAGTCATCTATTGCGATTTTGATTCTATAATTTTTATTTCAGTTTCGTCCAATCTTCAAGTGGTGATATGCATGATTTAATCTTGTTAAATAGAATTCGGCATACAGTGTCGAGTATGAAAATTTGGTCTTCCTCTATATCCACTAACAGGTAGCAGCACTCGCCCTCGTGGCCACACTTGCAGTGAATGGGAGCGCTGAGCCCCTCCCAGAAGCTGACCCGGGTTTCCATAGAGGATTTGGAGGCTTCGGTGGCAGATCCCATGGAGGGTTTGGTGGCTATGGTGGTCATGGTGGCTATCGCGGCAAGAGAAGCACCGAAGCCAACCCTCAACCCAAAGCCGAGGCTCTGGCTGACCCTAAGGCTGATCCCAGTGCTGGTCATCTAGGCTATGGCGCCTACGTTGGTTATGATGCCTTCCAAGGAGTTGGCCACCTGCACCATTATGGCAAAAGGAGCGCTGAAGCAGACCCCGAACCTGGCTTTAGTCGTTATGGCGGCTTTGGAGGGATTGGTGGTGGCTTTGATGGCTTCAATAGATATGGCGGATACAGACGATAATGTGGTCTTATCAGGATCTTGATCAGTATTGACGATGACGGCAATTTCTGTAACATTCCCAAATGAACAATAGTAATAAACTTTGCAAGCTGTAAAATATATTCATTTTACTTTCCATCCCACAAATGCATTTCCTTCATTAACATTTGTTTATTTAAATTTGGTGAAGGTAATGAGGATAATGATGGTAATAATGATAACATGAATGATTTGAGCTCAAAAGTCTTCCTCCTTAATGACTTACTACTGATGAAATTTTCTAGTAATTTATATTTAACAGCACAACAGTGCTAAAAGAGGCGGCTAAACACCAATATACTTGTCGTTGGCAATTGTCGGGTAATGATTTATTATCAATCAAACAACACGTCTTTGACCACACCGACTGACACTACATGCTGGATATAATACTATTAACTAACGGAAGGATGAACAATGATCATACAATAATTATAAGACTGTATTAATGACGCAAATGCTATATAGCGATTTTTAATAAATGGGAAAGATTAAATATGTCCTCGAAGTTTTATCATTCAATTTCTCTTTCTGGTTTCTCCGTATCTTGTTGTATTATCGTATTATGATGACATTGAAGGATTTCGAAGCAAATCATTTCTCTTATATCCAAGAATAAGTCAGTACAGTGAGCTCTAACTTACGCTATACACGGCTCACCTTACACATGCCTCACACTACACACATCAAAACATTGTAAAAACATACCGATGGCCAGAAATAAATACAATGATTCCTGTATACGAAACCTTAATTCCCCCCCCCCCCGTGTGACGGTTTGTAAAGCTTGCTGTACAATCTGAACAAAAACATAAACTGTTGATCCAGTTGAAAACAGCTATGTGGAGGAGTCATGTGGTGGAGTCATTTGGCAAAATCATGCGATAGACTAAAGTGTTTAATTAATATAATGAAGTCACGTGGATTCAAGTCGCAGACAAGTGGTAGAGCCATGTGGTGGAGTCATGTGGTGGAGCTATGTTGAGTAATCATGAGTAGAATACAAATGGTGGTGTCGTGAGGTAGAATCATGTTAGACTCATGTGATGGATTTAAGATGTAATCATGTGATGGTCAAGAAGTAGCCTCATGTGGTGTAGGCATAAAATATGGTCATGTGTTGGAGTCATATTAGTGTTGTGTGGAGTTATGTGGAACAATCATATGAAAGAGTTATGTGGTAGTTATGTGGAAGAGTCATGTGGTAATCCTATGGGAGAGAGCCTTTAACAACAACAATAATGGTAGGTCTTAGTTCAGGTGGTTACAGTTTTGTGTTCTTTTTGTAGTTTGTAACTGGTAAGACGGAGTGAAATATGAAGAAGAGACTGAATTTGTACTTTAGTGAGAGTCATGTGAGCAGAAAATAGTTTACATTTAACATTTATAGCCATTAATATCTCGTGGGGTGAAATAAATACAAAAATAACAAAGACAAATTAGAGTAAATTGTTTTATTTTCTGTATATACACTTGTAGGGCAATATGAAAATTAATTATCTATTAATTAGGAGCTGCAAAACATTAAGTAACACGGAAGTCACAATCCTAAGTCTAAACTATTTTCACCAACCAGTGACTAAGTAAAATCAATGACATTTTGAGCTGACGTCACCATGAGTGTCCATGTACTGTTAACAGAGAAATTTGGGTGAGACCTTGAAAAATGGCCACTCAACGTCGCCAGGTAGAGGGAGTGTCTCATCTCAGAGAGGTATAAAAGAGTTCTCAGCCTCCTCTTACGGCACAGTTCAGGTTGAGACACATCAACATGAAGGTCTTGGTGAGTAGTACTGGTTAATTGAAGATACTTTATTTTCTTATTTATTTTCTACTTACAGTGTTAATGACACTTGTATTACCTATTGTATATAGGGTTTTGGAAACAGCATGTGCGTCCTAAAATTTAATTTGGTGTTAATATCCTTTTGCAGGTAGCAGCACTCGCCCTCGTGGCCACACTTGCAGTGACTGGGAGCGCTGAGCCCCTCCCGGAAGCTGACCCGGGTTTCCATAGAGGATTTGGAGGCTTCGGCGGCAGATCCCATGGAGGATTTGGTGGCTATGGTGGTCATGGCGGCTACCGCGGCAAGAGAAGTGCTGAAGCCGAAGCTCTGGCTGACCCCGAGGCTGATCCCAGTGCTGGTCATCTAAGCTATGGTGGCTACGGTGGTTATGGTGGCTTCCAAGGAATTGGTCGCCAGCACCACTATGGCAAAAGGAGCGCTGACGCAGACCCCGAACCTGGCTTTAGTCGTTATGGCGGCATTGGAGGGCACGGTGGTGGCTTTGGTGGCTTCAGTAGATATGGCGGATACGGACGATAATGTGGTCGTGTCAGGAACCTCATCAGTGTCAACTTCTGTAACATTTTCAATTGAACAATGGTAATAAACTTTGCAGGCTGTAAAATATATTCATTTTACTTTCCAACCCAAAATTATATTTCCGTCATTAGCATCTGTTTACTTAAATTTGGTGGAGGTAATGAGGATAATGATGGTAATAATGATAACTTGATTGATTTGCCTTCAAATGTCTTCCTCCTTAATGACTTAGTACTGATGAAATTTTCTAGTAATTTATATTTAACAGCACAACAGTGCTAAAAGAGGCAGATAAACACCAATATACTTCTCGTTGGCAATTGTCGGGTAATGATTTATTATCAATCAAACAACACGTCTTTGACCACACCGACTAACACTACATGCTGGATACAATACTATTAACTAACGGAAGGATGAACAATGATCATACAATAACTACAAGAATGCATTAATGACGCAAATGCTATATAGCGATTTATAATTGATGAGAAATATTAAAAATGTCCTCGAAGTTTTTATGATTCAATTTCTCTCTCTGATTTTCTACGTATCTTGTTGTATTATCGTATAATGATGACACTGAAAGGTTTTGATATAAATCATTTCTCTTATATCCAAGAATAAGTCAGTACAGTGAGCTCTAACGTACACTGGTTCAGGTATACACGGCTCACCTTCCTCCTGCCACACACTACACACACATCAAAACATTGTACAATAATACCGATGGCCAGAAATAAGTATAATGACTCCTGTATACAAAACCTTAATTACCCCCGCCTGACGTTTTGGAAGGCTTGTTGGTCAATATCAACAAATAGACAGAAACTGGTGATGAAAACGGAAACAGCTATGTGGAGGTGACAAGTGGAGTGATGCAGTGGAGTGGTGGTAGAAGCATGTGGTGGAGTCATGTGATGGAGTCGAGTAGTAGTCATGAGGTAAAAGTCAAGTCGAAGTCATGTGGTAGAGCCATGTGGTGGGGCCCTGTAGTGGAGTCATGTTAAGAATATAGTGGTGGAGTCGTGGGGTAGAATCATGTGACGGATTCATCATGTAGTCATATGGTGGAGTCATGTTAAGGTGTCGTTTGAAGTTATGTGGTACCTGTACAGTTGCAGAAATGTGTTCCTACACCCTTATGGTAACACCGTGTCTCCAAACAGCAACGTTGCAGTAGTAGTATCACTGCTTATGAATGAATGGCTATTGGTCGTAGAACGACGGATATGATTGGTGGATAAGTTTGCTCTAGGTCATATTTATAGGTGGGCCGTTTGGAGAAACGGGTTACCACAGGGGGAGTAGGAACTCATTTCCGAAGCTGTACAATCATATGGAAGAGTCGGGTGGTTACTAAGTGGTAGCAATGTGGTAGAGTCATGTGGTAATCCTATGGGAGACAGCCTTTGACAATAACAATAGTGGTAGTAGTGGTGGTGGGTGTTAGTTCAGGTGGTTACAGTTTTGTGTTCTTTTTGTAGTTTGTAACTGTTAAGACGGAGTGAAATATGAAGAAGAGACTGAATTTGTACTTTAGTGAGAGTCATGTGAGCAGAAAATAGTTTACATTTAACATTTATAGCCATTAATATCTCGTGGGGTGAAATAAATACAAAAAATAAAGATAAATTCAAGTATTTGGTGTTTTATTTTATGTACATACACTTGTAGGACAATAAGAAAATTAATTACCTATTAATTACGAGCTGTAAGAAATTAAGTCACACGGAAGTCACTATCCTTAGTCTAAACCATTTCTACCAATCAGTGACTCAGTAAAATCACGATGGTGTCACCATGAGTGTCCGTGTACTGTTAACAGAGAAATTTGGGTGAGACCTTGAAAACAGGCCGTTCAACGTCGCCAGGTAGAGGGAATGTCTCATCTCAGAGAGGTATAAAAGAGCTCTCTGCCTCCGCTTACGGCACAGTTCAGGTTGAGACACATCAACATGAAGGTCTTGGTGAGTAGTACTGGTTAATTGAAAATACTTTATTTCTTATTTATTATCTACTTACAGCATTAATGACACTTGTATTAACTATAGGGTTTTGAAAAAAGCATATGCATCCTAAATTTAACTTGGTGTTAATATCCTCTTGCAGGTAGCAGCACTCGCCCTCGTGGCCACACTTGCAGTGACTGGGAGCGCTGAGCCCCTCCCGGAAGCTGACCCGGGTTTCCATAGAGGATTTGGGAGCTTTGGCGGCAGATCCCATGGAGGCATTGGTGGTTATGGAGGCTACCGCGGCAAGAGAAGTGCCGAGGCCGAAGCTCTGGCTGACCCTGAGGCTGATCCCAGTGCTGGTCATCTAAGCTATGGTGGCTATGGTGGTTATGGTGGCTTCCAAGGAATTGGCCACCAGCACCACTATGGCAAAAGGAGCGCTGAAGCAGACCCCGAACCTGGCTTTAGGGTTCATGGTGGCTTTGGAGGGCACGGTGGTGGCTTTGGTGGCTTCAGTAGATATGGCGGATACGGACGTTAATGTGGTCTTGTAAGGATTCTAATCAGTAATGACGATGACGGCAACTTTCTGTATTATTCCCAACTGAACAATAGCAATAAACTTTACAAGCTGTATATTACATTGATTTAATTTCCTTTCCACAAATTAATTTCTTCCATTTCTTTATGTTGACAGTTGGTGAGGGCGATGAGGGTGATCCTAACAATGATAACGAAAATAATTTATATCAAAAGTCTTTCTCTTTAACAACTTAGTACTGAGGCAATTTCTAATTGATATAGTCTTGCGATACAAAGGTACTAAAGCAAAGAGGTAAACTGCAGTAGTGGTCATGGGCAGTTTTAAGTCGGCATTTAAAAGTAGCAAATATATTTAATTTTAATCTTTATGTCTACAAGAAACTAAGATATTGGACAAAGGATAATTTCAGAGACAAGAAATAGACGACTAAGTTGATGCTTTGACGATAATGATCTGTTCTGAATCAAATAACATGTCCTCGACCACACCGATTGTCACTACTGATAATGATGGATATTATAGTAATGAATAAAGGAAGAATGAACAATGATCATACAGTAAATTCGAGATTGGGTTGACAACGTACTATATAATGTCACTTAATTGATTGACAAGATTAAAATGTCCTCAAACTTTAATCATCCAACTTATATTTCAAATTGTCTCCGTATCTTGTTGGTCTACCATATAATAATCACAACCAAGTGTTTCCATCCAAATTATTTCTACTGTATCCATGAGTAAGTCAGCACAGCGAGCTCTCACCTACACCGTTCTAGGTACATACGGATCACCTTCCTGGGGCCGCACACACCATACATCAAACATTGTACAAAAAAGGTGATAGCTAGATATGAATACAATGATTCCTCTATACGAAGCCATAATACCAACTCTCCCCCACGGCCCCACCCCACCGTGTGATATTTTATGAGTCTCGTCAATCAATATTACAAATGGACAGAAAGTATAAATCAAGACAAAAACTTCTATGTGGTGTGGTTATGTGGTGGAATCGTGTAGCAATCATGTGGTGGGGTCCTTTGTTATGGTCTTGCGGTGGATTTGAATGGTGGAGTAATATGGGAGGCAATACGGTGGAGTTGTTTGGTGGAGTCATCTAGTGGAGGCGAGTGGTGAAGTCATTTGGCTGAATCTTACGGTATTATCACGTGGTGGATTTGAGTGTTGAAGTCACTTGGTGTTCATGAGGTAGAGTCATTTGGTGGAGTAATGTGGTAGAATTTGCTTATGTACTCGTGTTGTGGAGGCATATGCTGGAGTCATGTGGTTTAACTGTGAGGTAGAATCATGTTATAGAGTCATGTGGGTAGTCTTGCGATGTAGTCATGTGGTTCAGTCATACGTTGGAGTCATGTTGAATTGTGTGGAATTATGTGGTCAAGGTGTGGTACAATCATGTGGATGAGTCGTGTGGTAGCCATAGTAGATAGCTTTTGACAACAATGCTAATGGAGCCTTGGTAGTAGTGGTGTTGGGGCTTAGTGCAGCTGTTTATAATGTTGTGTTGTTTTTGTAGTTCGTGACTAATAAGGAGGATTGAAATGTGAAGAAACTGACTTATATACTTTGGTGAGTCAAGTGGGCAGAGAATAGTTTACCTTTAGAATTTGTAACCATTAATATCTCAAGGGGGAAATACATTTATAAACAAAATAATAAAGATATTTTCGAGTATAGTGCATTTGAATTTATGGATAGGAACGTTCAAGAGAATGTATCATGATGGAATTGTAACGCAGTCAAAGGATATTTAGAAAAAAATCTTCGTATGTTTCATAATTAAAATTAAGATTTAATTAATAATTTAAGCACATACAACCTCTATTAGAAATCATGTATAACCATTACTTTTAACAGTTTGAATGTATTTGAATAGTTATGAGGAATCTGAAGCCTAATTGTGTAAAATCAACCATCTATTAATTACGAACTGGGAGACATTAAGAAACATGAAAGTCACTATCCTAAGTCTTTCAGATTTTCACCCGCCAATGACTAGGTAACATAAGGTGACATTAAGAGCTGAGGTCATGATGAGTGTCCAAGTGCTGTTAACAAAGAAATGTGGGTGATACCTTGAAAACAAGCTGTTCAGCGTGGCCAGGTAGAGGAAAGCTACAGTATAAAAGAGACACCAGCCGTCCATACGCCACAGTTCAGGCTGAGACACCCCAGTATGAAGGTCTTGGTGAGTCTTGTACTTGTTAATTAATGATACTTTATTTTTCTTACATATAATATTAATGACACTACTTATGTGTCTTGATATTTTAGTTGTTGTTAATATCCTCTTGCAGGTAGCAGCACTCGCCCTCGTGGCCACACTTGCAGTGAATGGGAGCGCTGAGCCCCTCCCGGAAGCTGACCCGGGTTTCCATAGAGGATTTGGAGGCTTCGGTGGCAGGTCCCATGGAGGCTATGGTGGTCATGGTGGCTACCGCGGCAAGAGAAGCGCCGAGGCCGAAGCTCTGGCTGACCCTGAGGCTGATCCCAGTGCTGGTCATCTAAGCTATGGTGGCTACGGTGGTTATGGTGGCTTCCAAGGAATTGGCCGCCAGCACC